TTTGTTTGTTTGTTTGTTTATTCCTCTAATTTGGATACTACACTTCCAGGGTTTTTTTATAAATTTTTTTCTTTTCAGAGTTAGGTAATGGTTTCTTCTTTATAGTTGCTTTTTTAATTACTGATCCAAAATAAAGCACAAAACTTTAACTTTCAACCATGAATACTGACTTTTTTTTTTGTTGGTAAATTGGTAGTTAGTTGTTTGGTAATACATGAATTTGAATTTGAAATCAAGATTTTTAATTTAGTAAATATCACTTAACTCAACTAAACCCTCATTGATACTGCAGTGGTTCTTTTATAACATTAGCTCTTTTAATTGTTAAGCATATACTGCTTTGATTATTTAAGAATAGGGGAGTGCTAGCAGCACTACTGTATTTTACAGTATCTTGAATATATGTTATCTGTCATTAAGCCATATTAAGTAGTTTATCAATAAAATTTCAAGTTACACCACTTAGCTGCAACCAAACAAACAGAGGGAATGTTTGAAAAAGAGTGCTAAAGAGAGAATTAATGTTGCTGGTACTACTAATAATAATGCCATCATCTCACATGACTTTCTTCGATTGTTTCAGGGACCATTGTATCCAGGATGGATACCTTATAGATATTTAAAATCACTTTCTAATGGATTTAGTGAAGAGAATTTCATTGGGAAGTTTCAATTTGGCAAAGTGTACCGTGGGATATGGAAACATATCTATAAGGATGATAATGACAGGGCATGGAGAGATTTGGAGCTAGTGGTTAAGATACGGGAGGATCCTTTAATTTATAAAGTTGTCCTGAGACACTCAAGAGAGATTTAGGGTAAGTTGCATAACTTTTGCCATAAATATCCCTCACCTTTTTTGAACAATTCTCTTATTACTTCCTAACAATGTTTTTGGATTTGGGTTCTCTAGGACGAAGAGAGATTACTTGCACATTTTTATTCTGTTAAACCCACAAATGTGGTCAGGATGATTGCCTTCTGGTCCGAAGGTGATCAGTGTGCTTTTGTCTATATGATCAAGCCACTGGACGCTCTAAATAATCTCATACCAAAAGGTATGTGGCCTATAGCATTGGTTGAACAAGCATTGTATTGTAAATTGTTATAACATTAACAAACAACTGTTAATTTTGTTTTCAGAAAGTTTTAGCTGGCTACAAAGAATCATGGTTACTTTCAGATTTGCTTTCGTCCTTGAAATTATGCATTCCAACAAAGCAGTGCCATATCTAATTCGCAATTTAGATGCCGCTCATAAAATGGTTGATAAGGTTTGATTCTTTTCCTCCTAGCTACATCATATATATCAATATGTCAGCTTATTTACATTTCATCAGTGTATTTAACTAAGGTACAATATCATTTTGAATAATTGTTTTTAGGATTACAACCCGTATTATTTGACTTCAGTATGATATCTGGTTGGATTCTAATTGATAGAAAGGATCTTCTAAACCGATATGTACATGGCTGTTATGGTTTTGTCGATCCAAGTCTCTCCCAAGGTATACATATGTCTGCCTTTTATCTTCTATATATCCTCTGTTCATTTCTAAGTTTTAATTTAGTATTTCTCATTGAGGATCCCTTGACAGGTGGATGGTCCGAAAAATGTGATGTTTTTGCGTATGGTGTTTTGCTTCTGGGGTTAATAATGAAAAGGGTTTATACAGATGAAGATAGAACAAACAATGTGCCCATTGTTTATGAATTGGCAAATATATGTACAACTCCAAAGACAAGTCTACATTGGTGCACCAAAGTCTGGAGTCTGACCCCTTTTTTTATTCTACGGATGGAATACAAATCACTAAACTGGCATTGCTGTGTGTGGATTATAACCCTCAAAAGCGCCCAACAATGAAAGCCAGTTGTCGAATGTTTGCAGAATTTGTGCATTACTAGTCATCATGCTGAAGCTCTAAGCATGAGTCCTGTTGGTGGGATCTCTGAGACACAGAAGGATAAACTTTCAGGTACATGGACATTTTTGGTAGATAATTAAACTGAATATTTCAAATTAATTGTTTAATGCATCCCTAAAAGTGGGATCAATTTCAGTCAACTAATTTGCAGCGCATTGGCCTTTTCTTTACAGGACTCTTCTGCAAATATTTTCAACATGAACAGATTCTAAATAAAGAACTGAGCGAACCAACTATAATTCTGGCAGGTTAGTAGTTGTGTTTTGTGTCATGGCAAACAAAACATTTTAGTTTACCATGCACACAGCTGCAAATCTTTACTTCATCATCTGAGCTATATAATACAATTATTCAGGTAAAGAATGTGAGATGATGCGGATACTTTCTTCTGAGGACCTAAGTTTCTTTACCAATGGATTTAGTGAAGAAAACTTCATTGGAGACATCCAATTTGGCAGAGCATCTCACGGAGAGATGGAAGGACGAAAAGTGATTGTGAAGACATGGGATAAGGGTCACGAACATCTCTTTAATATCTATACAGGAGAACTTGAAGTAAGGTTGAAGGTAGGTTTCGATTAAGATATTCTAGTGCCTATAGGTCGCTTTTTGCCTTTGTCGTTCGTAGCTTAGTAGCCCAGTTCTTGTTTTATGATTATTTTTTAGGTTAGGGACTTGTCTTTAATTTTTTTCAATTGCTTTTTGAAGTTTCATATATATTATTATTATATGTAGTTGTTTTTTGGTAAAATAAAAAACTTCTGGGTCGTCCGTTTAATTCATGCATGTGATATCTGTGTTTCACGTATAAATATATAGGTAGTTTTCGTTCAACTGGCTGACCATGGAAAAGCACTTTCTGTAATTCTTGTGTCCCTGTCAGATTGTAGAACTTGGTCTTGGTAAATTTTCAACCCATTTTCTGTTTGAACAGAAATTTATAGAACGTGTCTGTCTGTTCTTTTTGGGGTTTAGAGATGGAGACACATATTAGCAACTTGTCCAAAATTACAGAGGCTATCATCAAAATCAATGTTTCCTGATTAACATAATAGTGTATCAGAATCTTATGTTCAGAGCAATACTTGAATTATAGAGAGTGGTCTATCGTCATGGTAGAGTCTAATGGTAAATTCTAGTGTTCGAGTCATGAAGGGCAGTCATGAGCTAAAGTTGGCTCAGTATATCTACTATCTCTGTGATTGTTGGACGGAGCCTTGGATGATTAGATGTGCATTGATTGGCTAGGTTAACTATTGTAGCTGCTTTTGCATCAGTGAAACCACTCTACAGCTTCAATTTCCGATGCACAATATTTCCCTGTCCTCTAGCCTTCTCTACAACGTAAGATATTTCTTTCCTTTTGTTTTGATTGCGTTGCTTTTTCTGTGAAATTTCAGGTTCCTTCATCACCAACTACAGTGCCAACAACCCAAAATGGTAAATGTCAACCTTCTGTGTTATTTTCCCTGCAAAAAAGAATAAACAGACTTTTTATAAAAGTAGTGAACAGCAAACTAACAATAAGTTTTGGTCTGCTATGTGTTGTATTTATTTGTTCTTCATTCGTCTGCATGCTCTCCCATGTTATCTCACTTAAGGCAATAAGCAATTAAAAATGTGGTGAATAAGTAACAATGGCTATGAATCCTGCTTTTAACCTGGGAGAAACAAAATAAATTATCATCTGCAATAGTTACATGGGTTTAGTTTATCATGACAAAGGTCATGCATGGTTCTTTGTAAGTTTGGTTGCCATTACATCAGTTAGTACCTTCTGATTATATTCTTGAACTGTATGTGACAACATATGATTCTTCTTTTGCTCTGGAAGATATGACTAGGCAACAAGCATGATTACCCTACAGAAGGATCTTACTTATTGCCTATAAGCATTTTACATTGTTCTTATATAATGTAGGAAAATTTGCCCCTTGACATGTTTTCTTGATAGGGTAGTAATCTGGGAATCGTTTACTTAAATTTTTAATTTTGTTCCTGCTTGCACATGCCATATCTTTTTCTTGTAATTTGATAGGAATCTCAGCCTTACATAGACCTCAGAATTTGATTATCATATGAAGTTGAAAAGTTCAAGGAATTGTCAAAAAAAAGGTTATGAAAAAGACTTACCTTGGGATTCTAAATGTGCATGATTTATAAATCATTATTTAGTTACAGCAAAATGTCATGTTGAATGGTAAGACCAGTTACCTGCCAAGCCATATGTCCATCCAGAGCACTGATCCGTTCATAAAATGTGTATATATCTCAATTGGAAGAAACAGCACTGACAATAGAAATCCTTTGCTATTGTTCTGCCCACCACTAACATTCACACTCCTGCCAACAACTAAATATAAGAATTATCAGCCCTGGTATCGTTCTTTGTCTCTCATCACTCCCTTTTTCTTCCTTTATCTCACTTCATTTTGAACAATTGGATAACTATTTTACCCTTTAAGGGAAATATAAGGAGGCTCTAATAGTCTATTTGTAATTTCTTGGTTGGTTTGGGGACCATTTGCTAAGGCAGTGGAGTCAATGTATATCTAACATGCTTCTTCCCATGTAAATTAACATTTTTATCCCTTAAACACAATGTTGTTAAAGGCAAAAAGCGAGGCGAAGCGATGGCCTAAAAAATGCTGAAGCGATAAAGTGAGAAGCGAAGCAATTGCTTCTTTGAAGTGGAGCGAGTAATACTTTCAAGTGATCAATTATTAAATAGAATAAAACTAATTAAAATAGAAACTTAAGAGTATTAAGAGTGGAAAGGTAGAAGAGGGTGCAAGTGACAAGTTTAAATTAAATTTTACTTAGTGCAACTAGAACTAAATTCTATTTTAAAATTAAAATTCAGGAGTCTTATAAAGTGAAAAATTGACTATTTCAATCTGTACTGTATAGATGATTTTAAGTTTCTTAATCAAGGTCCCCTAGACTAGATAGATCTGAATGCTATAAGTTTACTGACAAGAAATAAAGCTGAAAGATAAAGGAGGGATAAAGAGGAAATGGAGAATTAAGACAATGTTAGAGAATTCTGTTAATATTTACATGAAACTTTATTTTAACTAAATTAAAATAATTTGCTGATAAAGAAAGAAAAAAGAAGAAAAGAAAGAAAGAAAGAAAAAAGAAGAAAAGAAAGAAAGAAAGAAAAAAGAAGAAAAGAAAGAAAGAAAGAAGAGAATATGTCAAAAAGTTAAGGAAGAGGATGAAGTCAGGGAAGAAGAAGAGATGGGAAGGAGAATATGCAAATTAAAAAATAAAATAAAATAAACAACCAGAAGGGACTTTCTTGTAAATGGCAGATGAATTGATGAAGTTAGGTCTCAGGAAAGGCAAAAACCTACTTTGAGCTTCTCACCTTACCAAGTTTAAAGTTTTAGCCTTTCACCTTATACTACGACACTTTTAGCCCCT